CTCCTCCAGATTGTTCATCGCCTTACTGATTCTTGAGGGAGATGATAGCACACAAATCACTGTTCAACATCAGTCGGGATATAAACCATCTGGAAACTCAGAAGAGTAAGCAAGCCTGTGGGTCGAGGGGTCGCAGCACCTGAGCGAGAGAAGATCACCTGGGGCTGGGCAAGGGGACCCACAAAGGCACTTCAGGGACATGCGAAGGCCAAGGAATTAAAAGACTCCACTAGGAATGGCATGTGACCTTGTTTTGCTATCATGCAGAATAGTTGAAGGGAAGTAGCAGGCAGCGAGATGGTAAACATGCACTCTGGCTGTCGGGCAATAGGCGCTTCATGCTAAGTTGAGACCTTTCCCTGGATTCTGAAAGTATCAATTGGAAAGTAGCAAAGACAACCAGCACGAGCTGCCTGCCCCAGCAGTGTTATTCTCCACACGCTGCATGTGTTGCTGCTTGCCTGTCCAGGTGGCTGTGTGGTTTGTATTCTCTGTAGTGGGGCCAGGTTGATACCAAACCGCTCGCATGTGCTCACCTGGCCCCCATGATGGGCACAGAAGTGTGAGGAGGGCAGCAGGTACAGGATTCCTCTGTGAAGAATGAATTGGTCTACCTAGGGATCAAATGCATTCCCGTGCCTGGCGTCATTAGCTCTGTAGTCAACCTACTGAGCTAGACTCTTAAGTGGTAGTTGCCAGCTGTCCACAAAAAAAAAAAGAAAAAAAAGGTAAACAATTTCCAATGTAATTATTGACTCTGGCATATTTTCTTTTTAGAAAAATCCTTTTACATTTAATTCCTGTACACCCTTTGCTGTTGAGTCAATTCCCACCTATCGTGACCCATAAGGACAGTGTAGAACTGCCCCATGGAAATTCCAGGCATTGCTCGTTTCAGAAGCAGACTGCCACATCCTTCTCCCATTGGGAGATTGGTGGTCTTGAACAGCTGACCTTTATGTTAATAGCCAAGTGCTTTGATCGCCATGCCACCAGGACTCCCCTTGTCTTACCATTACCAAACAAAGAAAACCTCTCACTGCCACCGACTTGATTCTGGCTCCTAGCAGCCCCCTCTGCAGGGTTTCTGAGGCTGTGAGTCTCTACAGGAGCAGACAGCTACATCTTCGAGCTGCTTTACTTGCATTTAACAAAGTGGGGTTTTGAATCTAAGAACATATGCTTGAATATAATTTACAATATTTGTCAGGAAAAACAAAAATATTACTGATACTTTGATCTTGTAGAGTCCTAGCTCCACAAGTTGTGTTATATATCATGATCATTGTTGGGCAACTAAATTGTTTTAAATGACTTTTACAAAACTTAGCTAATCTTTATACAAATTTTCTCTATATCCCTTTTTTCTTTTTTAAACGTTTAACCATTAATTGAGAATTTCTCTCACTGCCATGGAGCCAGTGCTGACTCATGGCAACCATAGAGGACAGGGTGGAACTGCCCCAGTGGGCTTCTGAGACTAAATCTTTACAGGAGTAGAAAGTCTCATCTTTATCCCTTGAGGTGGCTGATGGTTTCGAACTGCCAACCTTGCAGTTAGCAACTCAGTGTGCCAAATGCTAAGTTAGGTACTTTGCCTATGGTGTCGTTGGCTTTTTATTTTGTCCCCTATGCACAAATGAGTTTTCTCCTCTCTCTCTTGACAGGTTTCCAAAACTTAAGAATGGAGGAGGTATGGAAACAGGAAATTCAGGGCAGAAATGGAATAAATGATGTTACATTGTGGGGATTGCAATCAATGACCTGAAACAAAATGAGTGTAAACTGTTGAATGGGAAACTGTTCTTCTCTGTAAACCTTCACCCAATCAATAAACAATTAGAGAGCTCCCAACAAAATTATTAATAAATAAATGAAATAAAACACTATCACCACCACCACTACAACAAAAAAACAAAAAACATTTAAAAGCAGAACTAGGTTTCCATGCTTCAGAGCCAGACCCTTGCTCCTGGGCAGCCCTTGCATGCTAAGGATAACATGCATCCCACTGAAAGAAATGAGAGGCTTAGAGTTAATGGATTCCATGTTCAGTTTAATGATTCTAGTCTTTAGCCATAATCAAAGTAATGTAGTCTTTTAACTTATCCTGTTAGCCATCCTGGCCCTTTGTCACCTAGGCAGAGAACTGAATGTTGCTTTCCTAGTGCCAGTAGGACTAGCACCCAGGCTGAGTAGCCCAGGCAGTTTTACATTTCATAAAGTAATGAAAGATAACCTAGCATAATGCCATTTTGCCTAGTTTTACCACATAAGTTCCTTATGTGCTATTATGCCATGATTAAAATTTTAAATACTCTCTATTACTATTTAGATTTTGCAAATCAAATTGTTTCTGATAGACTTTCCTCAATTACATATGTTTGCTTTTCTATGGCAGCATCTGAAGATAGACTCAAATTCATTATAAACTACATTATGATCAGCCTTTTGCAGACTTAATAGTGGTTTATAACCAGTACATCGGTATGTTGAAAGTCCACACGTGAAACATCTTTGAAGAGAAATCCTTAACCACTTGTCATCGCATTTCCACTTTTGAATAACATTTTATTTTAAAAACAAAACCATGCCTTTAAGCCCTCGGTCTGCCCTTCTTCTACCTTCTACATGGTAGAGGGGATGGGGAGTTTTCCAAATTCAGTGCCTTCCCTAAAGTCATATAGTAGAAGTATCCTTTGAAAGTCTAAGATAATAGAAAATGTGAATGCTTCTGCGTTTAATAGATATGTGGATCAAACATTAATTGGAATATTTTAGAAACGGCCCTCGTTGCTAACCCAGAATCGCATGATGAAGTTTGAGGAGGTTGCTCTGGGGTGCAGTGGGGGTGCATTGGGCTCTGAGGGAGCAAGACGAGGCTTTCTACTGGAAACCCTCAGAGGCAGGTCTGCCCTGCCATAGGGATGCTGTGCATCGGGTGTGAACACCAGTGCTGTGAGAGCTGGCTGAGCTTGTGACAGATGCTGTGAGTGCTAATAGGAGCAGAGCTAGAGCCAGAGACTGTCCCCTCGTCCCTCTGCAGTCCCCTCCCCCTGGATGGCTGTACTCCAGACCTGGGTGTCATCTCTTGCTCAGATCTCCCCCCTCATCTGGGCCAGATGCCAGCCCACTACTTCAAGTTCCTGCAGTGTCTCCTGCCTGGCTGTATCAGCAGGAGTGTTCGTGGAAACCCTCCCTTTCCTCTCTATGTTCCCGGGCACAGGACTGCCTTCCCCTCTGTCTTCCTAGCCCCGTGCCTGGCACAGGACTGCCATATGTAGTGGGTGTTGGGGTTATGGTACTGTTTGAGTCCTAACAGCCTTCATCCCTAAACTTTCCCACTGTCCAAGCAAACTTGCCCCTGGGAGTCTTGGCATGTTGGGCCTCCTCTCCATTGGCAGCCTTTGTGGTTCGAGAGGGACTCAGTTTTGACCCCTGACTGCCCTTCACTAGCTATGTGACTTCAGGCAAGGCACTGAGTTCATCTCTGTAGGCTTTGGTGTTAAATCTCTTAAAAGCTTACTCAGCACCCATAGGGCTGGTTTAGGTTTGGCGGCCCAGAAGCAATGGTAAGAGTGGCTTGGCAGGTGGGGAAAGCCGGAGCCTCCCCTCTCTCCTCACCAACTGCCTCACCGGGGCACCTGTGCTTACTGACTACTTGGTTCCTCTTTGGTGTCTTAAAGATTCCCGTGTATGTTGTGCCCAGGGCAAGGCAAATGTTAAAGCAACCGAGAAACTTAAACATGAACACGTGCTCACTCCCATTCGTGCTAATTACATTTGCTGGCATTCTCATTGCTTGAAAGAGAACCGGTTACCGGTGTGAAGTGTGCAGTCCTTGGGATATTTCATTCGATTACCCAAGATTTCCTCATCCTCCAGGTTGGTAGAGTATTTGAATCACTTGGAATGCAACATCTTGACAGTGTGTGAAAAACATGCCAAAAAGATCATTTGAAGTGTGCTTATGTACTAGGAGAAAATTGGATAAAGGGTAGTCAGCAAACACCGAGCTGTCACCGCAGTTTCATGTTTGACACGTTTCCTGGTCTCTGTGAGCAAGGCTTCTGACGTCCGACGCTGTGTCTTTGTCGCATGTACTTCCAGCTCACCTGGAGGCCAGCTTTGAGGAGGTGGAACGCCACCTGCTGCATCTGGAAGACCTGTGCGGGCAGTGCGAGCTGGAGCGACACAAGCACGCGCAGTCCCAGCAGCTGGAAAGCTACAAGAGAAAGAAGAGGTGGGTCTTTCACGTCGGCCAGACTTCTCATGGTCAACCTCAGCGTTCTGGCCGTCACGTGCTGTTCGTCTCCATTGTAAGCTGATACAAGGCGTCTTGTGTATGGAAAGCCCATAACAAATTTTCCAAAATATTTTTGGTACCATTGTTATGGGTCCCCAGCAACAGACGGATGAAGTGCTCAGCCATTAACAGAAGGGCAGCGGTTCAGAAGCACCAGCTGTGCGCTGAGAGAATGGTGTGCAGGCTGCTTCCATAAAGGATTCAGGCGTGGTAGCCAGTTCTACTCTGTCCCATGTGAGTCGGGATCTGCTGGGCACCAACAGGTTTGGTTGGGGGCATCTCTTGGTACTTCATGAAGCTGAGTTCTAAAAAGCTCAGGATAAGGTAAAACACAAGAAGCTCCCCATGTCAGTGTGGAGGGGAGCAGAGTGGAGGGGCATAGTTTTCGAAATAAGAGTTCTGACCTGTGTTGCCAAGAGGCACATGACTGGGCCTCTTTTTCCCTCTTTATGGCGAGGGTTGGAGGAGAGGGGCCCCAAGAGCAGGCAGTGCAGAGGGGTGTGGTGGACTGATGCTCAGCCCTGCCTCTAATGACTGTGGGCCCAGAGACAAGAGACTGTATCCTCTCTCAGTCTCAAGGTCTCCGTTTTATAATAGGGAGAACAATATACTTGCCTCCTAAAACGCTATGAGAATTAAATGGGACTCTCTTTATTAAATACAAATAATATCTGGAAGTGTTGGTTATAATAATGATTAGTAGGTTAACGTGAATTGGAAATAGTAGTCTAAGGGAAGCAACCTGCTAACCTAGCTATGGTGCCCCAACGTCTGCAGTGGCCGCCAAGGACAGGGTTGGCAGGTGAAGTCGACAGGTGGACTGAGGGCAGGTGGGGTGCCCAGCTGTCATCATGCTGGGCAGGAAATGGTTTGCTAGAGAGGAGCAAAGAGAAGCCATTGTTTTCAGATCGCTGTCTGGGTGAGGCTGAAGAACACTTTTGGTGGGAGAAGCAGAGACAGACATACATACATACATACACACACAAGGATAGATATGTATAGCACCAAGGAAGATGACAGCTAATTAGTCCACAGAGCAGTACAGAGGGCTCAGTTCAACTCATTTCTGTGGAACAGCTAATAAACTGGAAGTCTTCAACTCATGAGGGCTGCTGGGTCGAAGGTCAAGGAATCAGACAGCTGAGACTTCCCTAAGGCAATGCAGGCAGTCTGGCCACAGGCAGCAGCCAGCAGGGCAGGTCACCAAAAGTTAGCAGCTCAGGAGCTTAGCAAAGCATGCCGGGATGGGATATCGAACTCAAGCAATGCAAGACGACAGGATCCGCCAGCCCCCAGCTCAAGTGATGTACACACCAGCAGTGTGGTGAAGCAGGTCTCAAAGAAACCTCAAGCTCTAGCGACATGGGTCCACTGGTTGGCTGTCTCACAGATAGTGCAGTTCACAAGTTGAGGCGGAGAACTAGCTAAAGCCACTGCATGCTGGTCTTATCACCAGAGAGCAAGAGAGAGAGGGTAGGGATGGGTGGGCCTGGCTGAGCCATGTATCTCTTTGCCCTCCAATCAATTGTTACCTTATTAATCCCACATGTTCTTATTGGCCAGGTTGGCACAATAAACCTATCACACAGAGGACTGTGCTGCTCACATGGTCAGAGGGTGCTGGTTAGTGGTAGACAAAGAGATTTTTTAAAGTGAGGCTAATGTGTAGGTGTTGTGGATTGCCACACTGATGTTCAGTTTTCGAGAATGGTACCAGTCGATTGGGGTACAGAGAAAAAAATGGAGTGTTTCAGAGTAGACATTCTCAACGAGGTCCATGGTCCCCCAGGGAGAGGTCTTAAATGTTAACAAGGCAGAAGAGCCACCCAGAGAGACCCCTGGGCTCCATCATCAGCGTTCAATTCCCATGGCACCACTTTAAACAGCATTGCCATGGTTCTGATGAGTCCAGGTGCTATGGATGAAGGGGCCTGGTATTCAGCAACTGTGCTCTGGAAGACTGGGAGTAGGAGTGAATTGGAAGTTTTATTTAAAAATCACAACATATACCCCAAGACTACAGCCCTTAGCCACCCTTCAGATGTGGAAATGAACACACCTGCTGACTTGCTTTTCAGCCAAACGTTAGACAGGTCTAAGGAGAACAGCAACCCCAGATGACTCTTAGAACAATCAACCCCCAGAGCTCCACTGGACGATGTTCAGCAGAAGGAGGAAGGGAGGGAGGCCGCAAACAGGAGTCACAGGGAGATGGGTGGGGGTTGGGGGTGGGGGGTGAAATGCAGTACCGTCGTGAAGGAGATAAAACACAATGTGTATGAGTTGTTGAATGTAAAACTAGTGATCTGGTCTGTAAGCCTTCACCCAATGCACAACAGAAAGTTTTTTTAAAATTACTAAACCATACCAGGTGACACTTCAATATGTAGGATTAAATTTAAAGTTTTGATAAAATGATTAGACAGAAAAGAGCTATGAAAGTTATTTCTCATGCTTTTCTTTATCCCAACCCAGTGACTTTGATATATTTTAATCAATGCACTATAACTTGTCTATCATAAGGGAAAACCAACTTGAGGTTTGGAACTCAGCCTCACCTGTGGTTAAAGTAAAGGCCTAAATGTACTGAATAGTTCTTATGGTTTTACATAACTGAAGCGACAGAGCATTCATCGTTTTAGAGGTGCAATTGTGTAGTGGAAAGAGCCCTCTCTGAGCCACTGGTTATGAGCTCTGTGTTCTGGGGCAAGCTGTTCACTTTTCTTTCTACTTGTTCTGGTTTAAAACTTTGCTTAGTGTAGATACATAGGTTCCAAAACTTATTTGGCTTAGCACCATTATTTCAGAAAAAAATTAGCACCACCCCTAGCAATTACAAAAGAGTGTACTGCAAAGCCAAGCCGGTAGTCCAGGATGGAGTGTCAAGTATCTGCTTTTGCAGCCTCCCCAGTGGTTCGTTCTATCGCCCCCAGGGGGCAGCATGTCCCGATTTGGAAAACACTGCTTCCCAGCTGGAAACAAGTGGTGTTTGAAATACAACAGCAAGACTATATATCTTCTTAATAAACTTAGATGTGATAAATGGAGATTTGATGATGGGGCCTGTTACTGTGCCATACAAGGGGTACCCCCCAAAAAACGGATTTCCCCCCCAAGCTATGTTTTTAATTTTTTATATAAAACAACCGTATCACCTTCAAAGTACTCACCATTACACTTAATACATTTGTCAAATCTGAAATTCCATTCTTGGAAACATTTCAAACTGATCTGTTTGGATGGCTGACAGCACCCCCCCTCGTGTTTTTTTTGCTTCACCTCTTCTACGATGTCAAATCGCTGTCCTTTCATGTCCCTCTTCACGAGGTGAAAAAATAGAAGTCACCTGGAGCAAGGTCAGGTGAGCAAGGTGTGTGGGGCAAGAGAGGCATGCTGTTTTTTTCCCAAAGACTGGTGCACTGAGATGACTGCGTGAGCAGGTGCGTTGTCGTGGTGGCAAAACCAGGCCCCGTCTGCCACAAAACAGGCCTTTTCAGCTGCACACTGTTACTCAATCTTTTAAGAAATTCTAAATAGAAAGTTTGATTAACAGCCTGACCTGGTGGAATGAACTTCAAATGCACTTCCCCCTCACATCAACAAACAACAGATGACCATCGTCTTAATCTTTGATCTCACTTGACGAGGTTTTTTGGGTGAGGGGATGCCGGAGTCTTCCACTGTCTGTTGATGTTTGTTTTGGGATCATAAGAACAGCATCATGTCTGGTCACCAGTAATGACCTTGGGGGTAAAGTCTGGGTCGATTTGGAGCTGTTCTTTCAAAGCACAGCATGCTTCCACTCAGTGCTCTTTTTCCTGGTCAGTGAAAACCCGAGGCACAAATTTTACAGCGACCCTTCTCATTCCCAAATCTTCCATTAAAATTCACTGAGCCAAGCTCCAAGATAGTCCAGATAATTTCCCCATTTCTTCAGTGGTCAATTATTGATCTTTGAGCACAAGTACATAAATTTTGTCAACATTTTTGCCTGTTTGGGAAGTTGACAGACATCCAGAATGAGGCTTGTCATCACTCGACGTTTCACCTTTTTTGAAACGAGAAAGCCACTTGTACACTTGAATTTTCCCCATCTGTGTAAGCTGTGTTATGCATCACAACAATTTCTGCAGCCTTTTTCTCAAGCAGGAAACAAAATTTCACAGCCACAACGCTGTTCTCTTAAATCAGCCATCACAAAAAAACGAGGTTCAAGTGAAATGGCTTTTATGAAAAAATTCATTGTGACTAGAGAGAACCTTCCCAGGCGATGCCACTGGGTGCACTAACTCGAGTGAGTTGCTGGCTGATGGGTCACTTGATGGGAAAAATGTGTACTGTGAAAGCGCTGCCAAGCAGAGCTTCCTCCCCCATTGCTTTGTTGTTGGTTTGGGTGGGGAGTACCCCCTCCTGAGTATGGGGGGAAATGTGCCATTTGAGGACTACAGATTATAATCAGCTTGAATTTTATAGATAAACTGGTAAATATTTCATATTCTTTTAGGCCAAACCTTTTAAATTATGTGGAATTACTTTATATTTCTCCAGGGCAGCAGGAGATTAATGTAAAATGTCATAACATTTTGAAAACTTAGGGTGAACTTCAAGAATGAGAATTTTTAAATTAATCCAAGACCTTGAAGAACTCTCCAATATTTTGTCAAAGACAAACTTCTCTATATGTTTCTAACTATATTTACTAATAGTTTTGTGTAACATCTTCTCAAAATAAACATTTATCAATAAATGCCCAAATATTTTCCCTCTAATTGCTCAGTAAAATAATAAGACTGTGATTGAAATTGAACTCATATCCTGAGATGATTGCTATTGTTTTTCATTCAGATTTTTTTTTATTAACAGGTATTTTAGTTACCTCTCACTGCTATCAAACAGATTCTAGCTCGTAGCTGCCCTGTAAGACAGGGTGGAACTGC